ATATAAGATGATTTATAATATAATGAAAGCAATCGTGTGAAATCACTATATATTTATTTTTCAAACCTCTGTAGAATTGTTCAACTCAGATATGGAAAGCATTGAGAAAATATCCCAATTTTCACCAGCCCTTGAGACAACATCCCTTTTTGGTGGACTTTCGGAAAGAATAAAAGAGAAACCATCATCGAAAAAATTAAAATAAACAAAAAATTGTAATTAATAGAAATTATTTTAAAATTATTATAAATGTTAAAAAAAAATATAAGTTAAACTTATAAATTCATAAAAAGATCAACAACGGGGACGATTGAATTTATGACTAATGAAATAGACTTAAAGGCATTGAAAATACTTTTGACATCTTAAACAATAAAAAATAGCCAAGGTTATAGATCATTTTGAAGAAGAATTATTATAAGAATGATTATTGGAACATACATTTTCACTACTAACTTACTTCGAAATTCTCTTATTTTGGCAAATCGAATCTAACAAATCACCTTTTGATCCAACGTTCTCATAGGTAATTTAATTTTGCCGAGCAAACGAATTCCATACTGTATACTTTATCCGTACGCTGCTGCAAAAGCATAGCTGTTTAATAATATTTAGAAAGAAAACTATATACGTAACAATTTGAGGTTGTTATTAACTTACTTCTCATCACGCATTTCGAATTCAATCTTCATGGCTGCCTTGTTATTCACTTCTATTTGGTCAAGTTGTCCAACATTAACAAGTTGGCCTAGAACATCTAAAAATTAAACAAGAGCAATAAATAAACTATACTACATGAATGCATGGATGTAAATTGATTTCTATAAAGATAGAGTGTATTAAATAAAAACATACCACAAAGAATGCTCTCGTTATGTTTTCCTTCGTGAATTGAATTGAAACTAAACAAGGAAATACAATTATTTTGGGACAGATTTGCAGATTTGGTGACGAAATTTTCCTCCACGAAAGATATCCAATAGACATGATTAGTGGTCTTGTACTGCCCGATTGACTGACTAAGAGAGAATTCCTGGAAAAGATCTCCACTCTCCCACGATAATATGTTTTTCGTATCGCTGAACATGTTTCGTTTTAACAGAAGCATGAGTCTTAGTACCCTTTTGAAATAAAAATAGTTTGAGATCAGTATAATTTACACGTAAACCAATCATTTGAAAGTCTTAAGGTGTTTATTTGAATATTACATACCTCAATATCATATACAATCATTTCAAGGGATTCACCTGTTTTAAAACAGTAAACCATGAAGTATTTTGACTTGAATGCTGCATTCTGATTTGAAAGGATTCAGGCTCTTCACTGTAGTGATACATAGTTTTGAAGCCATTTTTAGAAGAGAATATATGGTGTTCGTGATTTGTATATTGTTAAATCAATTATGTAATATTTATATATATATTTCAACTTAGGTATATTTGGCGATGGAAATGTTGTGAAAGATATTCATTTTACTACTGTAGGATATACTATCAAGTAACTATGAAAGAATTTAGATTAATTTTTTAGTAAAAGTTCATTATACGAATTCTATATTTGAGAATTCTGTTTGCATATCTAGTTATTGAAGTTTTGGAAAATATTATTTCTAGAGATTTGGTAAGCTAAATTAATAAAATATCAAATTATTGACGAGATTTTCGATTGATGTTAATATATTATCATTTTGTATGACTTGGAATATTTTCTGCAATCAGGGCTGAAGCTACATGTCTTGTTGTTGTCGAGGACTTTGCATTTGTTCCCGTCGGGTGCCTGAACCACCATCCTAGCCCAGCCAATTTTGAGTTCCCCAGCCATGCTGCATCAGAGAAGCATTGGATTGTGTCGTCCTCAAGGGGGAGATTTAATCGTCTCGATCCCCGTCCAGCTATCGGTAATCTCGGCGGTTTTAATGATTCACATGCTTGTGCCAAATTCCACTCCCTTGCATCACATATTGCTTTACTTACTGTTTCTCGCACCATGAAGGTCCTATCATTGAAGACCCGTTGGTTCCTAGCAATCCACAACGCCCATAGGACATAAGGTGTGAGTGCACCTCTCTCTAGTCCCACTGGAGGGAGAGGGGTAAGAGTTCGAACTGCATCCAGTCCGGGAGACAAATTTAATACCTGTGAAGTATCAATCTCCGAAGTGAATGGGGCCTCCGCCCATACATCCTGCGCGAATTGACAATTGAATAGGAGGAGTAGAGCTGTCTCCTTATTCTCACATCTGCAGTTTGCATTTATCTGGATATTTCTCTGTGCCATCGCTTCTCCCACATGTAAAGCTCTGTGTAACGCTTTCCACACAAACATTTTAGATTTTGGAGCTGAAATTAAATGCCACACTTGTTTATTCCAGTTGTGGATCGAAGTTGGAGCAAGCGGGGTGAAGCTCTCTTGGTTATCCATAGCTGTAAAATAGCCTGACTTGGTGGTATATACCCCCGAGGAATATCCAAGCCAGCAAAGTTTGTCAGGATTCCCGAAGACACTCAGGTTTAGGGATAGGATCTCATCCTTGTGTATGGGTATTATCATGTCTATCTTTTTAACATCCCATTCACGTGAGTTATTAATCATGAGATCCGCCACTCTAAAGGTCTGATTGTCTCTGGTAACAGGTTTGACCAGTCTCTTTTGTTCTGTCAGGGAGAGCCAGGGAGCCTCCCACACCACTATGTCGCGGCCATCTCCCACATCCCATCCAAGATTCTGAATTAAAAGCTTTGTACCTGCCATAATGCTCTTCCACCCATGGGAGCAGGAGGATGGAGGTACGCTATCCAGAAAAGGCGCATCCGTGCAGTATTTCCGTAATAAGATTTGTGCAAGAAGTGAGTTGGGAGAGTTATGTAGTCCCCAAGCCAATTTTGCCAGAAGTTCATCATTGATGGTGGTGATATATTTAAACTTTAGGCCTCCCATTCGCTTTGGTTTTGCCATTTTCTTCCAAGCAATCCAGCACATCTTTCTATTATCAGGCTCATTATCCCACCAGAAACGCGCCAGGGCTGATTGAATGCGATTACATAGAGACTGTGAGAGCTTAAAACATGACATTGCATACGTGGGCATAGCTGATAAGACGCTCTTTAGCAAGACCAATTTCCCCGCATATGAGAGGAGCTTTGAGGCCCAATTAGCAGCTTTTTGCTTTATGCGGTCCACTATGGAGGTGAAAAGGTCCCTCTTCTTTCAGCTGAAATGCTCAGGGAGACATGTATTTTCCCACTCCTCCCTCTGTCTCTATTTTTAGAATTCGCTTCGCTTGATATCTCTTGATCTGGCGCATTTTCCTTGAGAACGAGACTGAGGATTTTTGTGGGTTGATCATTTGGCCTGAGACTTTGGCGTATTGGTCTAGTATCTTCATGAGTTCCTCACAATATTTTTGATTTGCCTTGTAGAATAATATTGTATCATCCGCAAATAAAAGGTGGTTTACCCGTAGGCTGTCATTGGAAACTCTAATGCCTGGTAGTTTTTCACTCCTTTGAGCTTTGTGACATAGCCCAGAGAAGACTTCACTGCAGAGAATAAAGAGGTAAGCTGATAACGCGTCTCCCTGCCTAATTCCTCTGCTAGGTTTTACAAGCCGCGGTGACCCGTTGATTAGGCGGAAAAAGAGATAGTCTTAACGCATGCATTACTAGTCCCACTAGTCTAGGATGGAAACCAAACCGAAGCAGCACTTTTTCAATAATCCCTACCCTATTCCGGCATACGCCTTGCTCATATCAGTCTTAACAGCCATGGAGCAGTGGTGACTTGCCTTTGAAGTCTTTAGGAAATATAGAACCTCATGCGTAAGTAATACATTATCTGATATTGCTCTCTGTGGCACTAATGCAGACTGATTTTCCGAGATCAAACCCGCGAGGAGAGGCTGAAGACGCCGGGAAAAGAGTTTGGAAATGACTTTATAATGAACAGTGCACAGGGCTATGGGTCGGTAATCCGCTACTCTCTTCGGGACACTTCCTTTAGGAATTAGGCGAATATGAGTACTTTTAGCCGTTTCAAGCATACAATCAAATAAATTCTTTTGTGTGCAACATTTGATAAGACCTGCATATATATCATACACCATTCAAAAAAGGGCAGGTGGCACTAGTGGCCCCATTTTTTGGATTCAGCTAGTTAAATTCTTTCAGTTTTAATCCACATTATTTTTTTTATTGATTCAAAACCTCTATTGCATATAATAAACTGTTAAATAAATAATTCAACACCTTCATTGTAAGACTATATGTAATAATTTTTTTTCAACATTTTCCTTTTCATTTTTTGACATTCCACATCATCTTCTCTTTTTTCCACATAATCATTCAACATCCATTCAAAATTTTAATCATCTAAGTGGTTTTGTTTAATAAAATTCAATATCTTATCCCACTATTTTTATTTCATATTTTTATAATTACATTTTAATAACAATAATCTATTCATAACTAATCATATTTAGAAATGCTTTATAAAAGATTTATAAGTTGGTTTCTTTTTCTTTTATGTTTACAATATATTTTTATTTGGTTTATAAACCTCTTATAAAACCTTATAAAAATATTTATAAAGAGGAATTAATAAAAGTATTTACTATTTTTAAAAGTTTAACTACATTTCTTTCCCACATTGAGAAATCAGAAATGTCAGAAATTGTGGGACTTTCATTTATTTTTGAAAAATTAATTGAGACCTCATTTTTTATTTTTGGCAATTAATTAAAACATGACGATGATTATTAATAAGAGAAGAAATTAGAGATTAGTGGAAAAATTATAATGAAAATAATATTTTTTTTATATCTAAATGAAATAAATTAATATTTATTTATAGAATATAAAAATAATAAATTTTGGTTAAACCATTAAAAAAAAGATTGTTTGTTACAAATTAATTGAGTTTAAATAGTTAAAAAAAATCACAGAAATTCAATAACCAATCAAAAGACAACACATAAAAAAATAAAGAACACGTTCAACATGTTTTCCTCTTACAATTTGCCATGTGGCAGTGCTGGTCCCACCTGTATTATCAAATGATTCAACGGCCTCAAATTAAACTGTTGAATAAATTATTTAACACTCCCATTGTTCATAGTTTAAGTAGTCTTACGCAGATGGAAAAAATGAGTCATTCACCTATCCTCGATTGCCAAATTCACCATTGTTATATTTTCCCCTTTTGTCCAGTTTCCGACTGGATCCATTCACTAGGAAAAAATGAGTCGTTCAGACACATGTCCAGATTCACCATTGTTTGATTTTCCCCTTTTGTCTAGATTCCGACAATTCCCTACTGGATCCATCCACTATATAACAAGACGATAGAGCGAAGCTTGAGATGAAGAGTAGAGTCATCCTCAGCCATAGAGAGAGAAGAGATAAGAAGAATAATAACATTAACAACAAAGACATCTCCTGTAATTTCACACAGATTGAAACCATGGAGAGAAAGCCCTTTGAGGTTGAGACGACGGAGAATCACAAACCCTACTCCACCGTCGATGGCGGTGGCGTTGGTTCTGATTTGAGATCGCCGGTCGATTCATTTGATGACGAGCAGAAAAAGCTCGTTTACAGAGGCTGGAAAGTCATGCCTTTTATCATTGGTAACGCTTTTTTTCTCTCTTCAGACATCGTGTTTTTTTTTTTTTTTTTTTTTTTTTTTTTTTTTTAATTATACTCTGTTGAAAAAGAAATGAGAAAGTAAAATTCAACATTTTGTCCGTGATTTATTTAATTTAATTTTCTTTTCTCTTCTCTTTGATTTGACCTGACTGTGTCAAAAATCTTCGTGCAATTTTTTTTTTTTTTTTTGAACTTTAAATCTTCGTGGTTTGAGATTTAGAAATGAATTTGGTTCTAAAAAAAACGAGATTTGATTGAAACCTAGATCAAACTAGACGAGATTTTACTAGATCTAGAGAAAGAAATATTACATTTGTTTTTCTTTTAAAATGTTTTAAATCATGCAAGATAAGTGGATAAAATTTGAGAGTTTTGTACGGTTGAAGACAAAGTTTCTGGGAGTTTTTAGAGCAGTTATTAGATGAATAAATTTGACATGTGAACCTTTCAAAGTCTTACCTTCGATTTGTGTGTTTCCGTTTCAAATTTTAGAAGTTTAATAACCTTTTTTTTTTTTTTTTTTTTGGGTTTGACCAGAGAAAAAAAAACATTATTTTGGTTTGACTAATCATTTATCTTTGATCTTTTTTGTTTTTATCTTGACAGGTAACGAGACATTTGAGAAGATTGGGATCGTAGGGACATTATCAAACCTTCTGCTGTACCTTACTCAAGTATTCAACCTCAAGAAAGTCACAGCTGCAACAATCAACAGTGCCTTTGCTGGCACAATCAACTTCGGGACTTTCATCGCTGCTTTCCTCTGCGACACTTACTTTGGTCGCTACAAGACTCTCAGTGTAGCTGTCGTCGCTTGTTTCCTGGTACTAGCAGTTGATCTTGAATGGATTATTATTATAAACGTCAAGATTCAGTCTTTCTTTACTAAAGAAAAAAACCCATTTTTTACGTCTTTGTAGGGATCGCTTGTGATAATACTGACGGCTGCAGTTCCTGCATTGCACCCGACTCCATGTGGAACACATAGCAAGTGCCAAGGGCCAAGCGCGGGCCAGATCGCGTTCTTGCTCATGGGTTTAGCGTTTCTTGTGGTCGGTGCGGGTGGGATTAGGACGTGTAACTTGGCTTTTGGAGCTGATCAGTTCAACCCCAAATCCGAATCCGGGAAGAAAGGAATCAACAGCTTCTTCAACTGGTATTTCTTCACCTTCACGTTCGCGCAGATCGTCTCGCTCACGCTGGTCGTGTATATCCAGTCGAACGTGAGCTGGACGATCGGTTTGATCATCCCCGTGGCTCTGATGTTCTTGGCCTGCGTCATCTTCTTTGCTGGACATAAACTGTATGTGAAAGTGAAAGCCTCGGGTAGTCCCTTGGTTAGTATCGGTCATGTTATCACGGCAGCGATCAAGAAACGAGGGTTGAAGCAAGTTAAGCAGCCTTGGCTCGATCTTTACAACCACATTCCGGTTAACTATCCAAACTCCACCTTGAAATACACCGACCAGTTTAGGTAAACCCAACATTTCTCTCTCTCTCTCTGTTTCTATGTTCCCTTTGCTTTTATATAATCTCTTGCTGAGAAATGCTGGTTTGTTAGGTTTCTTGACAAAGCAGCGATTATGACCCCTGAGGACAAGCTGAATTCCGATGGATCTGCTTTCGATCCATGGACGCTGTGTACCTTGCAGAAGGTGGAAGAAGTGAAATGCATTGTGAGAGTGATTCCGATCTGGTTTGCTTGCGCGATTTACTACCTCGCTGTAAGTATACAGATGACTTATCCGGTCTTCCAAGCGCAACAGAGCGACCGGAGATTGGGTTCTGGTGGTTTCAAGATCCCCGCAGCCACCTATGTGGTGTTCTTGATGTCGGGTATGACTGTTTTCATCGTGTTCTACGACCGTGTCCTTGTCCCGTCGTTCAGAAGAGCGACCGGGTTAGAAACCGGTATGACACTCTTGCAGCGGGTCGGATCAGGGATCTTCTTTGCCATGTCGAGTTTGTTGGTCTCCGGGTTCGTAGAGGAACGGAGAAGAACCTTCGCCCTGAAGAAACCGACTCTCGGGATGGAGCCACGAGTGGGAGAGATCTCCTCCATGTCGGCCATGTGGCTGATTCCGCAGCTCGTGCTTGCAGGCGTGGGAGAGGCTTTTACAGCCATTGGACAGATGGAGTTTTACTACAAGCAGTTCCCTGAGAACATGAAGAGCTTCGCTGGCTCTATCTTCTATGTCGGTGCAGGAGTTTCGAACTATCTTGGTAGCTTCTTGATCTCGACTGTTCATCGAAGAACTCAACGTTCACCTTCCGGGGACTGGTTAGCTGATGATCTGAACAAAGGGAGACTCGATTACTTCTATTTCATGCTCACTGGAATCATGGTCGTTAACATGGTTTACTTCTTGATAATGTCTAAATGGTATAAATACAAAGGCAGTAACAATGAAGTCAATGAATAAGAGACCAAGCAGCAGCAGCAGAAGCAAGTCAAGAACTCTGTCTGATCTGTAAAATTTTTATTATTTTTGGTCTCCTAATTCAGTCTCTACTCTTTGTTGTTTGTACTCCATTAGGTAAAACGAATGAAGGAGAAATATAATAACCTCAACGTATTTCTCAAATAAAATTTTGTTGCTAAATTGAAACTGTGTTACTGTGTATGAAGTTTGTTGTATTCGTTAACGAACCTCTAAAAGAAGACTACAAGGAGTGTAATTTTTTTTATGTATTAAAACAAAAAAAAGAGGTTTTCTATGTATCTTTTTGGGTTAATTTGTAATCTAATCATATTTATAAAAGAATATAAGAATATAACCATGCTATTCAAAAAACATGAAAAATAATCATATCCTACATTAAAAAGACTAAAAATTCCTTTGTTTTAAACCGAGAACATATATATAATATAGTTTTGATTATAGCAAATAATTTTTTTCGGACTATACTATAATATATGGTCTTACACGATAAAATTAATATAATATAATAATTGAAATTTTAATTATATTTACTATACTATATTAAAGAGAGGAAAAAAGAGAAGACAATAAGAGAGGAGGAGAGGAGGAGACAAGAGGGGAAGAGAAGGAGGGGAAATGGGATGAGTGGAGATGAACAGAGAAGAAGTGAGGGGAAAATGATGCAAATAGAAGAGAAGATCGAAGGAGAAAGAAAAATAAACAAAGACAATTTTGTATATATTGATATGGTTATTTTCTGAATTATAGACATTGATATGGTTATATGAGCCAATTCTCCTATCTTGTTTGTCCATGAATATAAAATTTTAAGAATAGTAAAAGAACGAAGAAGAAAAAAAAAGGCCAAATAAATATTTTTATATTCTTAAACGTAACGTAGAAACTCGCCTCCCTCTTCCCTAGTCTCCACGCATCTGTCTCTGATTCTGTTCCTCTTTTTCCCCTTTTCTCCGGCGACGGCCAATCATCGTGAACGGCCGAGCATTTTAAAATCGTTACGGTCACTGTGAGGATACACAGAGAGAGAGAGAGAAATGGGTGTGGATTACTACAATATACTGAAGGTGAATCACAACGCGACGGAGGATGATCTGAAGAAAGCTTACAAGCGTCTGGCGATGATCTGGCATCCCGATAAGAATCCTTCGGCGCGGCGAGATGAAGCTGAGGCCAAATTCAAGCGGATCTCTGAGGCCTACGACGTTCTCTCCGACCCTCAGAAGCGCCAGATCTACGATCTTTACGGCGAGGAAGGCCTCAAATCTGGGAAAATCCCCAATTCCGCCGCGGCTTCTTCGTCGGAGGCTTCCTCTTCTTATTCCTCGCGAGCGCCGCACTTCCACCAGCACCAGCACAGGCAGCACCCGCCGAACGCCGCGTCGTTTCGTTTCAACCCTAGAGACGCGGAGGATATCTACGCCGAGATTTTTGGATCTGAAGGCGGAGGAAATGGTGGGGGTGGTGCCGGCGGGAGAGGGAACAGAACGTCCAGGGATGGGAGTTTCAGGAACGGTCATTTCAACACCGGTGCGAATGGTCATAGCGGTGAGCTAAGGACTGTTCCGGCCGTGGAAAAACCATTGCCGTGTAGCTTGGAGGACCTCTGCAAAGGTGTGAAGAAGAAGATGAGGTTATCCAGAAATGTGTACGACGCTTCCGGGTATGTTTTCTTCTTCTCTTCTCCATCTTTATACATTACATTGGAAGATGATTCAGGACGAATCGAGAGGTAGAAGCTTTCCTTCAGGCATTGCTATATACAAAACTGTTTATTTTCGTGTGGGAGATTGATTTAGCTGAGGAAAGCTTTATACTTTTATTATCTTCTGGTCTCTAGAACAAAAATGTTAATTTGTAGCTTTTTAACACTCTTGAAATCGAGCTCTTTGGATGTTACAAGGCAACAACTTTTATGATTGTTTAGGTAATCACTAACCAAAGACTATTGTTCGAAGATTAACGTGTCCTCTTAAATAAGTTTATCTATGAAATGCTTTATTGATTGTTTTTGCATAATGAGAATAGATGATAGCTTGCACGTATCTGTTTGCATTTTTTGGCTCATCTTGCTTCATATATTTCTTTCTTTCTCTATTGAACTTTTCTTTAAGGCTGATGAAGAAGCCATCGTTTAATTATTCCCCAAATAGTACAAGAGTATTGGTTTGTAATAAAATACCCGTTTGTTGGTAGCCAATGTCTGCATATATAGAGATGAATTTGAGTTTGGTTTACCATTGATTGAACTATAAGAAGATGGATACATGGATCCGAAAGCGACTGATGTTCTAATACTGTCATGATTCGTGTTGTTTGATAATTTGCAGTAGAATGAGGGTCGTTGAGGAGATATTGCCCATAGACATAAAACCCGGGTGGAAGAAAGGCACAAAGCTCACATTCCTTAAGAAAGGCAATGAAGAGCCCGGAATCATACCAGCAGATATTATCTTCGTGCTTGAAGAGAAGCCACATCCTGTTTACAAGAGAGACGGAAACGACCTTTTGGTCAATCAGGAGATCACTCTACTCGAAGCCCTAACCGGTAAGACCCTGGACCTGACCACGCTTGATGGAAGGACCCTCATGATCCCACTAACCGATATCATCAACCCGGAACACGAGATTGTTGTTCCGAACGAAGGAATGCCAATCTCTAAAGAACCTGGGAAAAAAGGTAACCTGAGATTGAAGCTTAACGTGAGATATCCCTCGAGGCTGACAGCGGAACAGAAATCGGAGCTGAAGAGAGTTCTTGGTGGGGTCTCATGAAGCTCTCCATGATTGAATGTAGATAGCAAAAAGTAGAGGAGATGGTAGATTGTGAATGGTAGGATGGATTCTTCTAAGGGGGCTTCGATTTGAAAGCCGAAGAACAAACACAAGCAGACAAGCTTTGCTTCTGTCCTTTTTTTTTTACTTCTATTGTTTGGTAGTAGACATTTTTTCCCTTTTTTTTGTTAATTTTTTTTTGTTTGATTTGGTTTCTCGGGATTTTATGTGACTGTACTACAAAGTACAAACATTGAGGTATGCTTTGTTACCTATATATCTTATTGAATAAATTTCCAAAATGCCCCACTCTTATCACTAGGTATATATAGTCAGTTTAGAGTAGAGAGCAAGGCAATATCACAAGCCCTTGTTCTAACAACTTGGGCAACAGAAACAAGAATGAGAAAGTGGAGAAACAACATTTATTCAACAGGAATTTTGTAAAGAGTAGCAAAACTCAATGTACACTTTTTTTGGTGACCAATAGATTTAGCTTTCACTCTTTTCTTCCTCTCTTCTTACAAACACTTAAAAGATGCAAATGATGTGTATAGGATCTCAAAAAGGTACTTTAAGGAGGAAATAACCTATTGATGAAAAAGTGTTATTTTAAGCAGTGTTGGAGACAGGGAAGAGCTTCTCCACCATGTTATTGGAGAGGATTCTATTTGGGTCCAGCTCTCTGCGTGCCTTGTTGTATGCATCCACAGGGAAACGTTTTCTGAGTCTTGCTTGGAGGGCTTCAAGTTCCTCTTTATCCTTTGGTATCTGATTGCCATAATAAGATGAAACAATAAAAGTTAGAAATTGTCCAAATGGTAACCTCAGCAGATTCCTATATCCTGTGCTTAGTTTTCACATGAAGGCAATTGAATTTCAAGCAGGAAAAGGTATTAAGATACAGAGTTTTTGTCCGTTCAGTTAGTTCCTGATCTGACTAAAGTACTAATTTCTAAAAGGAGTGAATCAGAAAGGCGATGGTATCTGTGCACTGGGATCCCCCAAGAATCCCATATATAGATTTGAAAATCTACAATTACCTCAATTTTCGCCCAGTGTTCATACGCAGAATATTGATCCCACAACTGTGCCTGTGTCAAATGTCTATAGTGGAAAAATTCATCTGTGATGTCCTTCCTCTGGCGAGGGTCTGCTGTCGGGAGGTACATGATTATACCAACCTGAATAATAGAAAACAATCAGTGCTGAACAAGATCGGTCAATAGCATGAATCCACCACATGAAACAACAATCTAGCCCCTAAAAGTAAAGCAAGTAGCATTATTTCTACCGGCTTCTTCTTCTTTGTCTATATACAAATTAGCATCAGTATTTCAAACGTTTTCTCCACAACAAAAGGCAGAGAGGCCTGAAAACGAACTTCCCAAAGACTGAAAGCAATATGAAGGTTGAAGGAAGATCCATGAGAAAAAAAAAAGAACAGAGAGTTTACCCATGAGAAAATGTCATCCTCTGCAGTGCTGAACGCAGGACTAATGGGACTCTTACTTCGAGCTGTCCAGCGCTGCTCTATCGGAGCAGGTGCAGGTATTGCTTCCTTTTCTATCAGTTGTTTCAGCTGTTCTATGTATTCAAGGTCTTTCATGTTTGGTTTGGCGAGGGTTCCAGCAGGAAAACAAGTTTCTGATACCCACTGTTGACCACCACAGTCAAAGCCCAGGATTTCATCACTCCACCCTACTCTGTATCCTTCTGATTTTTTCCAAAACTCTGCCTCGGCTTGATTTACTTTTCCAACATGAACGTCATTGAGAGGATCGAGGGCAAGCAGCTTATCTCTCAACTCCGTAAATGAAAGCCCCTTTATGTCTGGCTCGCTGCTTTCAGGAGATTTCTTACTAGACTCCTTGACCCTAATACATCATGGAGAGAAAAAATGTTTTGTAATTCACTTAGTCCTCCGCACGAGACAAAGCAAGTTAAAGATAACAACTAAAGCATAACGATACCTATACTTCACAACGCTCTCTCTGTAGAGGTCACGGACATGCTGTAAAGCCTCATCTGTAGTGTACTTTGGTTTGTCCTTAGGTGCCCCACTCCATTTTGATACAGGGTTGCATGTTACAACCACGACTGTGTCAGTATAAGGAAAATACAGGTACTTCACATGCTTGTTTGTAGAGAGCAACTTTCTAAACAGCCAGAAACAAAAACAAAAACAAAAGTTAGGAAAACTTCCACCCTGACACATAATTTATGAGACCAATTTGCTTCATATTAGGAGTGGTTTCCCAAATGATCGAAATGCACCAGTGACTAGATAAAGAACAAAGCATAAAGCATTTGCATCAACGTGATACTTCTCTGTTAATCAGACCAGAAGAAGAATTGTATGCTGGGAATGGTTTTCCAAGGGTGGATGCATTACTACTAAGACTAAGAAAACGAAAGTTTGCAACACTTAACTTGTGATTTTTCTTGATTTCTTCCAAGTCTGAGACGTACGTGTGCTCCACAAGTTCCTGTCTTTCAACACACTGGAGGGTGACCTCAGCAACAACTCCAAGCCCACCAAGGCCACATCGAGCTAGATGAAAGAGCTCCGGATCTTTATCCTTTGAAAGTTCAATTGTTCCCTTCGCAGGAGTGACCAGCTTCATGCTGATCACTTGCTCATCAATAGGAGGCAATTTAGCACCTGTCCCATGTGCCCCAACCTGAACATGAACAAAAAATAATCTAGAGCCTAAACATCAAAGAACAAGATGGAGACGAACAACTAATTTTGCAGAAGTTGTTTCTTAGTTCCACAATCAAATTGTATGAAAGGCAACCTGAATAATGCCACCAATCTGCTGCTCTCTAATGGAGGCAAAGTTCTGGAGAGTGAGGTCATAGTCTTTAATGGCGTCAACCAATTGCTGGACCCTAATCCCAGCCTGCACACGAACTCTCTTCTTCTCTTTATCCACCTCGAGAACCTTGTCCATGAGCGCCAAATTCACCATCCCGGAGCGAGACAAACCGATCCCATTGGGGGAAAGACCCGATCCAACGGGTCGGATCCTGTTCTTTTTCTCATGAGCTTCCTTGACGAGAGCTTCGAGATCAGCGAGATTCTCCGGTTGGTTAAAGTTCCTAGTCTGGACCTCATGAGTGCCGCTCCAGTTTGAGACAGTGTGAAGATCTTCGGGTAACGGAGCGTACCGGAAGATTTGAGCCTTCTTGTGTTTGGCATTCTCAGGGAACGGGAACGAGAAATAGGTAGCAACGCCACTGAAGATAGCGAGTGCTGCGTATCCTGCGTACTTGCGGAATTCCTTTTCTGAGGCGGAGGACGAAATCGGAGGCGGCGGAGGAGGTGGCGGCGGCGGGGGTGGAGTTAACGTTTGACCCGCGGTGCAGAGAGTACGGAGAGGCGAAAATGGTGGACGGATGGTGGATGAAGACGGAGTAAGGGCTCGAAACGAACGGTCGACGGAGCGTCGGAGAAGAAGTGACCGGAGCATTTTGTTTTATTTCAGGCGATCTGTGTAGCCAAAGGTTCCTGCACAAAATTACAAGGATCGGGTAGAGATTTAAGAAAATTTCCAAAATGATCCGAAATTATATATGTTTTCATAATTTGAGCCAGTCATAGTTTGTTTTTGAACAAATTAGCCCCAGAGTTCTGATTGGCATCAAATGGTCCCCGCTTACAAAACCAAAAAAAAAATAATCCTCTTTGCATTTTAAACCACATAAAATACACAAACCATAGTTTTATGAATAGTAAACCACGTGCGGAACAGGCGGTTTAGCCTTACTGAACGACCAGAATGTTACCAATCATAACCATAAACCGAACCGGTCTGTGATTGCAATGTAAATCTCAGTTGGTAAAGCCCCTTTTCTCCTCTTTTCCCCTTTTCGGTTAAATGATTTTCTCCTCCGGCTTCGCACTCCACACAGAGAGAGCACAAACAGCGACTCTTCTACTCCCCATCTCTTTTCCCTCACCAACTCCCTCCGTCGATCCTCCGCCGTAATAAGGTGCAGGAATCTCCAAGGCGACCTCGTATGTTGACTGTTATTTAATTTCCGATTTGACCATCTTTGAGCATTTGGTGGGGCGTATATATACACACACACACGTATACATATCTCTGTGTATCCTTCATGCCGATTAAATTCGTTTTGAGCTGAATCGAAGATGGGCCAGAAGAAGAAACCCCACGCGCCTCGCTCCAAGCAATCGCTGTCTCCTTCGGCGGCGGCGACAGAGGTTGAGCCGTCTGAGGTTTCCGCTTGTACCTTCTATGAGGGCGGATTTTCTGGACCGGCAGCTATTGCCGAGCCGTCCGATTTGGCTGTGATCAAGCTCGAGTGCGAGAAGGCACTGACATCATTCCGGCGGGGAAGCTACACCAAGGCGATTCGGCTCATGAAAGATTCATGTTCTCGCCACCAAGACTCTGCCCTAATTCACCGTGTGCAGGGAACTGTGTGCGTCAAGGTCGCTTCTGTCTTCGAAGATCTAGCTACGAAACAGAGGTATCTGCGTAATGCAATTGAATCTGCTAGAAAAGCTGTGGAGCTATCTCCCAACTCTATTGAGTTTGGGCATTTCTATGCTAATCTGCTTTACGAGGCTGCTAACGATGGTAGAGAGTATGAGGAGGTTGTGCAAGAGTGCCAACGAGCTCTCTCGATTGAGAATCCAATCGATCCTGCCAAAGACAGTCTTCAGGATGAGAATCAGCAGAAGCTATTGACACCCGAGGCTCGTATTGCAAATGTGCAGGATGAGCTCAGGTCACTTGTACAGAAATCTAATATTGCTTCATTGTCCACTTGGATGAAAAACCTGGGAAATGGTGAAGAGAAATTTCGGTTGATCCCCATCAGGAGGATGGCCGAGGATCCGATTGAGAGTAACTTGATCCAGGCCAGGAGGCCAAATGAGATTAAGAAAGCTACCAAGACTCTTGAAGAGAGGAGGAAAGAGATTGAAGTGAGGGTAGCTGCAGCTAGGTTGTTGCAGCAGAAGTCAGAGTCTTCCCCGTCTGATAACGTAGGAACTGTAAACCATAAGGGGTCAGATCCATCGTTAGGCGCGGGGCAGAGAAGCGGGGAGAGGAGAAAGCATGGAAACGCAAGGAGAAACGGCTCCACAGCTGAGAGAAGGGATCGGGTTAAGTCGTACTGGGATTGTATGAGCAGAGAGATGAAGAAAGAGTTGCTTAGAGTTAAAGTTAGTGATCTTAAGAGTCACTTTATTGCATCAAAGGATGGCAATGCAAATGAGATTATAAGTGAAGCTCTGTCCTTTTGTGAGGCTAATAAGACTTGGAGGTTCTGGGTTTGTTGCCGGTGTAGTGAAAAGTTCATGGATTGTGAGGCTCATATGCAGCATATTGTGCAGGAGCACATGGGTAACGTGTTACCTAAGATGCAAATGGTTCTGCCTCAAAGTCTCGACAGTGAGAGGATTGAGATGCTTCTTAGCTCCCAATGGAAACCATTGGATCTTTCTGCTGCGGTGAAGTTGCTTTGCAGTCAGCAGAAAATCCAAAAATCTGAGTTTAATGAGTTTCATTCTGGGGATAATATGGAAGATGATGACGACTTCTTTAAGGATGCATGGAATGATACTTCACCAGAGAAAGAAAACCTTGCAGATACTTGCAACGGTTGTGATGAGAATGAGACTGAAGAGGGTAAGCTGTTGCTTCCATTTCATCTTCCTGATGCATGGCCTATATCTGACGATCCTGAACGTTCAAAGCTCCTTGCAAAAATTCGTGCAGCCTTTGAGCTACTTATCAGACACAAATATTTAGCTGCCAGCCATCATGATAAGGTGATACAATTTACTCTGGATGAACTCCATAATCTACCCTCGGCTTCACAACTCTTAAATGGTTTAGGTCAGTCACCTATATGCATTTGCTTTTTGGGAGCTACCCAGCTCAGCAAAATTCTCAAATTCCTGCAAGACTTATCACAGGCCTGTGGGTTGAGTCGATATTCTGAACAAAGTAACCCAAACGATGAAGTTAATAATTTTGGCGACATAGGTCTTGAAGTTACAGAGGAGATTCTTCTTGATGATGAAAATTCATGTCTTCTTCTTGATGAAAAATTACTTGGCACTGAGTGTATCCAAGAGAAGTATATAGGCTCACCATTGAGTAATGGAGCTATGGCAAGATCTGGAGATATTGCTTATGGCAATAATGTGTCCTCTGGTGCGGATGGATTTCTTTCATGGATCTTCACAGGACCCTCTAGCGGGGAACAAATTGCGTCATGGATGCGCATAAAGGAAGAGAAAACGAATCAAGGGCTGGAGATGATGCAGATTCTTGAAAAGGAGTTCTGTCACTTGCAGAACCTCTGCGAGAGAAAATGCGAGCACTTAAGCTACGAGGGAGCGCTGCAGACTGTTGAGGACCTTTGTCTTGATGAAGGTCGAAGGAGGGAGACTGCAGCAGAGTTTACCCATGAAAGCTATGAATCTGTGCTGAGAAAACGAAGAATAGAGCTAACTGAGAGTGACCATGAGTTGGTGTTTATCAGTAATAGATTTGAGTTGGATGCTATAACAAATGTTTTGAAAGATGCAGAATCTCTTAACCATAACCAATTTGGATATGAAGAATCATATGCCGGCACAAGTTCTCATCTTCGTGATCTGGAATCTGGGGAAACTGATGAATGGGGGATGAAGGATTCCTTTAATGAGGCTGACAGTTTCATAGAGATTGCAATCCAGAAACAGAAAGAGCAATTGTCTGCAGAGGTAACCTTTTCTATCCTTACGCAACACTACTGAGATAAGCCTTTGTCCCAAACCAATACTTTGTATGTGTCCTATCACAGCTTAGCAGAATCGACGCCCAAATGTTGCGCAATGTTACTGGGATGCAGCAGTTGGAGCTCAAGCTTGGACCTGTTTCCTCCAATGATTATCAGATAGTACTTTTACCGTTGGTGAAGTCCTATATGCGGGTAACTAACTCATGAGACCCTTTTACTTATTCTTCCCTTTGGTTGCAGTGTTCTTTCGGGTTCTAATTGTTACTATCTTAATCTCTCTCTCTCTCTCTCTCTCCAGGCACATCTGGAGGCATTGGCAGAGAAAGATGCCACTGAGAAGTCTGATGCTGCAAGCGAAGCATTACTTGTTGAGCTTGCTCTTGATTCTAAGAAGGAAGCCCGAGGAAGAAATGATAATTCGAAACACACACAGGAAAAATCCAAGGATAAAAAAAGGATTAAAGACACCAAAAAACTGAAGGATTTGAAGGTTTGAACTTTGAACTAATCTTTTGCTTATTTTTTATATTTAATTCTCTTGCCTGTATATAACTAGCCTCAATATTTTGTTATAGGCTACTATTGGAAACGACCATTACATCAATGATGATTCTACTGAACTCAGGTGAACACAAGAGTTTTAGTTACCTGGAAAACCTTTTGTTCTGAAAATACTGGTGGTTAATAATTTGTCTTTAATATACTTGATGATTTCTTGTTCTAGCCTCCGTTCGGTTGCATCTTATGGTGATCATTCAGAGGCTGAAATTTTTTCTGAAGCTGTTGAAGCTTTAAAAGAGCAGGAAGAGGAATACAGACGCCGAATAGAGCTAGAGGAAGAGGAGAGGAAGCTTGAAAATACTCTAGAGTATCAAAGAAGAATTGAGAATGAAGCCAAGGAGAAGCACATTGCAGAACAACAAAAGAAATACAGCTCTTTAACTCCGATGAATGTTGCAGGGGAAGTGTATAATGTTTGTACAGATAATGTCGTTGATGTTATAGATTTACAAGAACAAGAAAAATCCGTGAGTCAGGTAACCAGATAGTGCCAAGGTTGTTGGGTTGTGGTTTTTCGAATCATCACTTCAATTGATTTTTGGGTTTTTTTGCTTCAGCAGGAGAACTTGGTTCAAAGGAATGGACTGCCCCGTGACTTGGAAGGAACCCGAGTGAATAGAAATGGTGATGTTAGGTCAACAAATCATTGTGCGATATCTGATGCTGCAACGGTGCAAGAAGTAAAATCCCAAAAAGGTTACTACTGGTCTTCAAATTTGAACATACGTCTCTAATGACCTTTCTGAGACATATATTTTTTTTGTGTTGCAGTAATGGCTAATGGGGTAGATACTCAAGCTGGTTCTTTTCAATCTGAGCAACGCAGTGGGAGGAGGGGTAGACGCCAAAAAGCTAACAAGTTAGTTGATGAAAAACATCTGGTTGCACCTTCTGAGAGCAAAAATAGTGAATCTAGCATTGGTGGTAAGTCTTTCTTGTTTTCATTTTTTATCCTTCTCTCTGTCTCATGTTCCAGGGTGTAACTAGATTGCTTTCCTCTGCGTGCTGATTTTTTAAAACTTGATTATTAGATGCGCTTGGGAAAAGACAAATTAAGGCACGAACAAAACTGCTATATGTGTTGGAACTTTATAGTTCAAAAGTTTGATTTGTTAAATCTTATGCATCTGAAACTAGTGTATTTTGATTTTGGCTTTTCTGTCTACTATGAATAACAGTATTTAAATTGATATTTAGCAATTGTTTTTTAACATCATTCATCTTGCATTCAATATCTTATACTGGTGATGTAGATGCGGGAACAAAGACATTGAGACAGTTACAAGCTGAAGAGGATGAAGAAGAAAGGTTTCAAGCTGACCTTAAAAAGGCTGTGCGTCAAAGCCTTGGTAGTTTTTTAACCATCCCTGTTTATATATCGTATCTTTTAATAAGTGTCCGTTTTGTGACTATTGTTTGACTGGCAATGTCTTTTGGATGAAGAATGGTTTATATTGTATATACCGCTTCTCTCCATCTCAGGACACACTCTTTTATATTATTCTTGCAGGCATATATATTTTTTGATGTCAAGCTACTTTTTTCTCATATTTTACTTATGTCAACAGCTGCTACCTCCTTTTCTTTTCATTTTCATCTCATTTGTTCTGTGATCATTTTGGGGTGACAAATGCCCCTAATATGAAACATCTGACACAGGAACATTTTGTTTAAACCCAGATGTGTACCAAGGAGGTAGATATATCACTGGAGGTTTGAGGACACCTTTGGAAGTAAAGAATGATGGGCTTTTATTCGATGTCACAAAGGAGTCTCAGAGCTCGACCGGAGTTACCATATTTGGCACAGGTCTTCAGAACGAAGTTGGTGAATATAACTGCTTTCTAAATGTTATCATACAGGTAGCCTTCATTCTCATAAACTGATTGATTTCTCGGGTGTCAATGTCTATGACATCCAGCATAAAGGATAAATATTTTCTGAGTGGTATTTTTTTTGTTTTGTTTTGATCTCAGTCTCTATGGAATCTGGGGATGTTTCGGGCTGAGTTCTTGCAGAGTTCAACACTAGGGCATCATCACGTCGGAGATCCTTGTGTTGTCTGCTCACTGTATGAAATTTTTACTGCTTTAAGCGTTGCTTCGAGTGAAACAAGAAAAGAACCTGTGGCTCCTTCATCTCTCAGGATTGCTTTGAGTAAATTGTATCCAGATAGCAGTTTCTTCCAAGAGGTAAAGGAATTGATCTCTGGTTTAAAATGTATATACTAATACAAGGTAAAGCTTTTGTTTGCATCAAGGAGTGTAAACATGGGCTCTTATGGTGGACAGGCTCAGATGAACGATGCTTCAGAAGTGTTGGCTGTGATTTTTGACTGCCTTCATCGCTCATTTGCTCAAAGCTCAAGCGTGTCTGACACAGAATCTTCTGGGAGCAACTGCACGGGTTCATGGGACTGTGCCAACCTCACATGTATCGCCCATTCTCTGTTTGGAATGGATATTGTTGAGCAACTAAATTGCTACAGCTGTGGGCTGGAGTCCAGGCATATGAAATACACTTCCTTCTTCCATAACATCAACGCTAGTGCCCTACGGACCATGAAGGTATGTATCATTTGGGTGTTCCTTAGACTTGAGTTTCACAGAATTTATTATTTATTGGATAATTTACTGTGGTTCTGCCCTTCTTTGTGTCTAATAGGTTACATGCGCTGAGAATTCATTTGACGAACTTCTAAATCTTGTCGAGATGAACCATCAACTAGCCTGTGATCCTGATGCTGGTGGGTGTGGGAAACTCAACCATATCCACCATATACTCACCACTCCGCCACATGTTTTTACTACAGGTAAAACCTTTTTTTTAGGATTCTGTTGAATACAAACCTTTTTTTGGATTACTGATATTTGTGTATTAACAGCACACTCTTAATTATATTGGGGGCTTGCAGTTTTAGGGTGGCAAAACACATGCGAGACAGTAGAAGACATAGCAGCTACTCTTGCAGCCTTGAATACCGAAATAGACATAAGCATCATGTACCGTGGTGTGGACCCTAAGTGCATATATAGATTAGTGTCCGTGGTACGTCTTTCTTCTTCTTATTCCCTGTGACATTACCTAAAGGATGTATTGGAACTTGAATCCGACTGTAATTTTGTGTTTTCCTCATGGCCTTTCACAATCTAACGTTGTTCTTTTACTTTATTCTGCAATTCCAGGTTTGCTATTATGGACAGCATTATCATTGCTTTGCGTATAGTCATGAACACGATCAGTGGATCATGTACGATGACAAAACCGTGAAGGTAAGAAGTAATGAAATACTCTTAAGTTTTGAGGCAGATACACTATTCCTATATTTTGTCACCCACATTTTGTGTAATATTTTTCAGGTTATCGGTAGCTGGAGTGATGTACTTTCTACGTGTGAGAGAGGACACTTGCAACCACAGGTTCTTCTCTACGAGAAACAACGTTAAATCATAAAGAAAAAGGAAATATACAAAAAGCCAGAGCAAGTGGAGATCTGTTGCTACAATTTTGGAGATCTCCCAAGTACATACTACAAAAGAAGTAAGTACTTTTTTTGACAATCAGAGCGAAAACTCAGAGAGGAAGAAATGTGATTAATTCATCAGTGGTTCTATGAGGATGGGGGGGAAGAAGATTTTGTGTTATGTTTTCATTACAAGAGGTCTTACAAGATCGTATGTAGTTTTTTTTTAGTTATAGCATTGTCACATGAAAGATTATATGTTCATATAAATTTATGCAGCATTCTTTTTATTTTGCCCGCCATCACTATACATCATATCATCTTGACTTCTAGCAAAATAGAAGAAAGGTTTGCATAAACTCCAATCCAATATAAAGTTACCTATCATCCATCATCCTTTAGCAATTACTACTTTGTTTATTTCTTATTACATAAAAAATACAAATTTAAAACCTATCTATTTTTTTATTTGTTTCTATTCCCGTGTTTCTTCTCTTTTCTTGAGGTAAACTTGTATACAATTGTATGTACATAAAGCTTGAGATTAGCTGAAGAGCTCTTGCGCAGGTAGTTTGACCACTTGGCTTGCTAATTTTGGTACCAGTGACCTTGCTTCCCTTTGTTGGATAAATACTAGCCGGTAAGCTTGAAAATGATCTTTTAATTCTTCAAATATTCAAAGAAAACGAGATTTAGTGTTGACTTTTTGAATAGAATTACAAAATCAACGGATATTAAAGAAATTAATTTGTTAACTTTGGAGAATTAATATCTAAAATTATAAAACTTGAGAAACTAAATATTAACTTTTTATTTAGACAATCAAATGATCACTTCTCTAAAATCACTATCAAAATACCATCAAATAATTTTTATAAAGTATCATTTCCATATATATCTTCTGTGTATCAAAAATGTAATATATTTATCAAGAAATTGATGCTAATTTCAAAAAAATATACACAATTATTAGATTTATCTTATAACAACGATAAAAATTGTTCCCTAACACAAAGAACTTCTGAATTTGGAATAAAAAAAATCAAATGAACTTTATACATTTATAAAAGCATGATGGCAAGATCCAATTGAATTTAGGGGAGTGTCTCTCTCAGTGGATGAGTCCAAGAATTTTTTTATCAGATTCAACTTAAAACTTAAAAAATAATATTCCATATATAATATTTCAAAATATTATGCGAATTTTCATATTTTTAAATTTTTTCATCGCAATAGTCTCCAATATATTTTTCTCAATAAAGAAAACTAAATAATCATTAGAAAGAAAGATGATGAAGAAAGATAAAAGTAATGATTGTTTTTGAGTTTGATGAAGAGTTTTTTTTTACTTTTTTGGTTTTAGTTCATTAGGTTTTCAATTGTTTTGAAATTGTTAAGTTTAAATTTAACTTTCATCTTTCTAATGATAAAACTCATATAAAATATGGGCTAATGTTTAGATTTTACTTATGGGGTCACACTAAATAAAATAAGATTACGATAAAAAAAAGTTTATGAATTCAATTATAATTTTGAGTTGGTGTCAATATTAATAAATCTTAATAAACTATAAATAAATTTCAAATTGTTATGGGTTCAGTTGAAATGTTAGTAGACTCGCCACTGGTCTCTCCTCACAGAAAAACAACCAAATTTTTTTTTTTGAAATAAGCATCAATTTAATTTTATATTGTGAAGGGAAAATACAACCAAAATTATTTTATTAATACTGTGAATGAAAATACAAAAAAACGTTCTATAGCTATTAAAGTTGTATGTTAACTTCTCATATACTTCTAGATTCTTTCAAATTTAATAGTTTTTAGTTACAAGAAATTTTTTAAAGTTGTTATGAATAAACCTCTATAATTTATGTGTTTATTTTATATGAACACAAATTTTTATTAAAGACATGATATATTTTAGAAATGATTATTTAATTTTTAAATATTAGAGATTAATTGTTAAATTTTTATGTTGACAATTTAATCATTCTGACTTCACAAATTTGGATTCAGAAACAAGTTATTATAAAGATTTTGTTTTCTTAGTTAACTTTGATAGATCACATACTTAAATTTATGAAGTCAACGTTGCTGATCTGTATATACGATAATTTAATAATAAATTCGCTAATTGTAAATATTTTAAAAAGTAAAAAATTATTTTCCCGCCAATAAATATAACAAAAAAACTGTAAATGAACTAAGCTTGATGCAACTAAATTGTAAATATGTTTTCCAGAAATAGGATTTGTGAGCAAGGAGACAGATTCAAAAACGAGACTAAGCTTGATGCACTTACATGTTTATTATTTGGCATTCACAACATGAAGTCCAAAGGACCAAAGCTTAAATATATACAAATAATTTATAATGGAAACAATAGTAAAGGGACACAAAGTTAGAGTGAAAGGAATATTAGGATCGATTTATAAATGAATAATAGATAAAGCGAACCAGTGTAGAGTACAATCGCTATGTAAATTTCTCCTCCGGCTTCGCACTGCACACAGAGACCACAACGACACTTCTTCTACTCTCTATCTCTTTCCCCCTCACCAACTCTCCCCGTCTATCATCCGCCGTAATACGGTGCCGGAATCGCGGATGTTGACTGTAATATAGTTTCTGATTTGACCATCTTTTAAGCATTTTGGTGGGGCGTATATACACACGCGTATACATACAGTATCTCTGTGTATCCTTCATGCCGATTAAATTAGTTTTGAGCTGAATCGTGGATGGGTCAGAAGAAGAAAACCCCCGCGCCTCCTGGCTCCAAACACTCGCCGCCTTCTGCTGCTGCTGCGGCGGCGGCAGAGGTTGAGCCGTCGTCTGAGATTTCCGCTTGTAGCTTCTATGACGGCGGAATTTCTGGACAGGCCGCTAATGCCGAGCCGTTCGATTCGGCTGTGGTCAAACAGGAGTGCGAGAAGGCACTTATGTCATTTCAGCGGGGGAGCTACAACAAAGCGATTCGGCTCATGAAGGACTCATGCTCTCGCCACCAAGGCTCTGCCCTAATCCACCGTGTTCAGGGAACTCTGTTCGTGAAGGTCGCTTCTGTCTTCGAAGATCTAGCTACGAAACAGAGGTATCTCCGTAGCGCAACTGAATCCGCTAGAAAAGCTGTGGAGCTATCACCCAACTCTATTGAGTTTGGGCATTTCTATGCCAACTTGCTTTTCGAAGCAGCCAACGATGGGAGAGACTCGGTAGAGTTTGATGAGGTTCTGCAAGAGTGCCACCGAGCTCTCTCGATTGAAAACCCCATCGATCCTGCTAAAGACAGTCTTCAGGACGAGAATCAGCAGAAGATATTGACACCAGAGGCTCGTATTGCAAATGTGCAGGATGAGCTCAGGTCACTGATACAGAAATCTAATCTCGGCTCATTGTCCACTTGGGTGAAGAGCTTGGGAAATGGTGAAGAGAAAATTCGATTTATCCCCATCAGGAGGATCGTCGAGGATCCTATTGAGAGTAACTTGATTCAGACCAGGAGGCCGAATGAGATTAAGAAAGCTACCAAGACTCTTGAAGAGAGGAGGAAAGAGATTGAAGTGAGGGTAGCTGCAGCTAGGTTGTTGCAGCAGAAGTCAGAGTCTTCCCCGTCTGATAACGTAGGAACTGTAAACAACAATGGATCAGGGCAGAGAAGCGGAGAGAGAAGAAAGCATGGAAACGCAAGGAGAAACGGCTCCACAGCTGAGAGAAAGGATCGGGTTAGGTCTTACTGGGATTGTATGAGCAGAGAGATGAAGAAAGAGTTGCTTAGAGTTAAGGTTAGTGATCTTGAGAGTCACTTTAGTGCATCAAAGGATGCCAATGCAGATGAGATTATAAGTGAAGCTCTGTCCTTTTTTGAGGCTAATAAGACTTGGAGATTCTGGGTTTGTTGCCGGTGTAGTGAAAGGTTCATGGATTCTGAGGCTCATATGCAGCATATTGTGCAGGAGCACATGGGTAACGTGTTACCTAAGATGCAAATGGTTCTTCCTCAAAGTCTCAGTAGTGAGAAGATTGAGATGCTTCTTAGTTCCCCATGGAAGCCATTGGATCTCTCTGCTGCTGTGAAGTTGCTTTGCAGTCAGCAGAAAATCCAAAATTCTGAGTTTAATGAGTTTCACTCTGGAGATAATATGGAAGATGGTGACGACTTCTTCAAGGATGCATGGAGTGATACTTCACCTGAGAAAGAAAACCTTGGAGATACTTGCAATGGTTGTGATGAGAATGAGACTGAAGAGGGTAAGCTGTCGGTTCCATTTCATCTTCCTGATGGATGGCCTTTATCCGATGATCCTGAACGTGCAAAACTCCTTGAAAAAATTCGTGCAGCCTTTGAGCTACTTATCAGACACAAATATTTAGCTGTCAGCCATCATGATAAGGTGATGCAATTTACGCTAGATGAACTTCGGACTCTACCCTCGGTTTCGCAATTCGTAAATCGTGGTTTGTGTGAGTCACCCATTTGCATTTGCTTTTTGGGAGCTACGCAGCTCAGCAAAATTCTCAAATTCATGCAAGACTTGTCACAGGCCTATGGATTGAGTCTACATTCTGAACAAAGTAACCCCAGCGGTGAAGTTAATAATTTTGGCGACATAGGTCTTGAAGTTGCAGAGGAGGTTCTGCTTGTTGTTGAAGATTCATGTCTTCTTCTGGATGAAAAGTTGCTTGGCACTGAATGCATCAAAGAGAAGTATTTGGGTTTAGCATTGAGTAATGGAGATATAGCAAGTTCCGGAGTTATTGCTAATGGCAATATTGTGTCTTCTGGTGCGAATGGATTTCTTTCATGGATCTTCACAGGACCCTCCAGCGGTGAACAAGTTGTGTCATGGATGCGCACAAGGGAAGAGAAAACAAATCAAGGACTGGAGATGATGCAGATTCTTGAAAAGGAGTTCTGTCACTTGCAGAACCTCTGCGAGAGAAAATGCGATCACTTAAGCTACGAGGGAGCACTGCAGATTGTTGAGGACCTTTGTCTTGATGAAGGTCGAAGGAGGGAGACTGCAGCAGAGTTTACCCATGAAAGCTATGAATCTGTGCTGAGAAAACGAAGAGTAGAGCTAACTGAGAGTGACCATGAATTGGTGTTTATCAGTAGTAGATTTGAGGTAGATGCTATAACAAATGTTTTGAAAGATGCAGAATCTCTTAACCACAACCAATTTGGATATGAAGACTCATATGCCGGCACAGGTTCTCGTTTACTTGATCTGGAATCTGGGGAATTTGATGAATGGGGGATGAAGGATTCCTTTAATGAGGCTGACAGTTTCATAGAGATTGCAATCCAGAAACAAAAGGAACTGTTGTCTGCAGAGGTAACCTTTCTATCTTTACACAACATACTGTAATAAGCCGTTGTCCTAAACAAAAACTCTGTATGTGTGCTATCACAGCTTAGCAGAATCGACGCCCAAATGATGCGAAGTGTTACTGGGATGCAGCAATTAGAGCTAAAGCTTGGACTTGTTTCCTTCAATGATTATCAGATAGTACTGTTACCGTTGGTGAAGTCTTACATTCGGGTAAATATAATTCTTTTGACCTTGTTACTTTTCCTTCCCTTTGGTTGCAGTGTTCTTTCGGGTTCTAATTAGCAGTACTACCTTAATCTCTCTCTCTCTGTCTCTCTCTCCAGGCACATTTGGAGGCATTGGCTGAGAAAGATGCTACTGAGAAGTCTGATGCTGCAAGCGAAGCATTACTTGTTGAGCTTGCTCTTGATTCTAAGAAGGAGGCTCGAGGAAGAAACGATAATGCAAAACACACAAAGGAAAAATCCAAAGATAAGAAAAAGATTAAAGACACCAAGAAACTGAAGGATTTAAAGGTTTGAACAAATTTGTTGTCTACTTTTTAACTATTTCTTGTCTATATTTGTAACTAGATTTACTGTTTTTCTACAGGCTTCTATCGGAAAGGTTTTGCCTCCAGTTTCATCTTTTGGTGATCATTCAGACGCTGTTGAAGCCTTGAAAGAACAGGAAGAGGAATATAGACTCCAAACAGAGCTAGAGGAAGAGGAGTTAAAACTTGAAAATACTCTGGAGTATCAAAGAAGAATTGAGAACGAAGCTAAGGAGAAGCACATTGCAGAACAACAAAAGAAATACAGCTCTTTCGGTCCAATGCATGCTGCAGAGGCAGTGTATGATGTTTGCAGAGATAATGTCGTTGATGATTTAGATTTACAAGAACAAGAAAAAACCGTAAGTCAGGTAACCAGTCCTGTCCATAGAGTGACAAGGGTTTTTTCTGAATCATTACTTCACATTAATATTTTTTTTTGTTTTACCAGGAGGACCGGGTTCAAAGGAACGGACTACCTGATAACTTGGAAGGAACCAAAGTGAATACAAATGGCGTTTTACCGTCAACAAATCATTGTGCCATAACTGATACTGCAAAGGTGTCACATGTTAAATCCCCAAAAGGTTGCCACTGCTCTTCAAATTTTGAAAATATATGTCTACTGAACCTTTCCGAGACACTTATATTGTTTTTTGTGTTGTAGTAGTGCCTAACGGGATAGATACTCAAGCTGGCGGTTTCCAATCTGATCAGCGCACCGGGAGAAGGGGTAGACGCCAAAAAGCTTCTAACAAGTTAATTGATGGAAAATATCAGGTCACACCTTCTGATAGCGAGAACAGTGAATCTCAGAGGTCAATCTCTGAGAGCACCAACGGTGAGAGACAATCTGAATGTCTACTTAGCAATAGTGATGTAGAGAATCTAGATTTGTTTTCCTCAGCTTATTGATTTTCTTAAACTCGAATATTAGATCCGCTTGGGAGACCAATTAAGGCACGAATAAACTGCTTTACCCGGCAAAACTTTCACAGTTAGATTTATTAAAACTGATGTCTCTGTAACTAGTGTATCTTGTTTTGGCTTCTCTGTCTACTTTGAATGACAGTATTTGGATTGATATTTAGCAATTGGTTTTAAACATCACCCATCTTGCATTCAATGTCTTATCCCGGTGATGTAGATGCGGGAACAAAGACATTGAGACAGTTACATGCTGAAGAGGATGAAGAAGAAAGGTTTCAAGCTGACCTTAGAAAGGCCGTGCGTCAAAGCCTTGGTAGTTTTTCGCTCCATCTCAGGACTCATTCTTTTATCTGATTCTTGCAGGAGTATTTATTTTAGATGCCTTAAACTGTATTTTCTCATGTTTTACTCATGCCAACGGCTGCTACCTTCTTTTTCTTTATGTGATAATTATGGGGTGACAAAAGCCCCTGCTACGAAACGTCTGACACTGGAACATTTTGTTTCAACCCAGATGTGTACCAAGGAGGTAGAAGTATGACTGGAGGTTTGAGGACACCTTTGGAAGTAAAGAATGATGAGCTTCTATCCGATGTCACAAAGGAGTCTCAGAGCTCGACCGGAGTTGCCATATTTGGCGCAGGTCTTCAGAACGAAGTTGGTGAATATAACTGCTTTCTAAATGTTATCATACAGGTAGTCTAAAATCTCATAAACTGATTGATTTCTCGGGTATCAATGTCTATAACATCCAGCTTAAAAGATTTTCTATTTTCTGAGTGCTAATTTTTGTTTTGTTTTGATCTCAGTCTCTATGGAATCTGGGGATGTTTCGGGCTGAGTTCTTGCAGAGTTCAACACTAGAGCACCATCACGTTGGAGATCCTTGTGTTGTCTGCTCACTGTATGAAATTTTTACTGCTTTAAGCGTTGCTTCGAGTGAAACAAGAAAAGAACCTGTGGCTCCTTCATCTCTCAGGATTGCTTTGAGTAAATTGTATCCAGATAGCAGTTTCTTCCAAGAGGTAAAGGAATTGATCTCAGGTTTTAAATGTTTATCCTAATAAAGAGTAAAGCTTTTGTTTGCATCAAGGAGTCTAAACATGGACTCTTATGGTGGACAGGCTCAGATGAACGATGCTTCAGAAGTATTGGCTGTGATTTTCGACTGCCTTCATCGCTCATTTGCTCAAAGCTCAAGCGTGTCTGACACAGAATCTTCTGTAAGCAACTGCACTGGTTCGTGGGACTGTGCCAGCCTCACATGTATCGCCCATTCTCTGTTTGGAATGGATATTGTTGAGCAACTAAATTGCTACAGCTGTGGGCTAGAGTCCAGGCATATGAAATACACTTCCTTTTTCCATAACATCAACGCTAGTGCCCTACGGACCATGAAGGTATGTATCATTTGGGTGTTCCTTAGTCTTGAGTTTCACATAATTTATTATTTATTGGATAATTCAGTGTGGTTATGCCCCACTTTATGTTTAATAGGTTACATGCGCCGAGAATCCATTTGACGAACTTCTAAATCTTGTCGAGATGAACCATCAACTAGCCTGTGATCCTGAAGCTGGTGGGTGTGGGAAACCCAACCATATCCACCATATACTCACCACTCCACCACATGTTTTTACTACAGGTAAAACCTTTTGTTTAACGATTCTGATGAATGCAAACCTTTTTTTGGATTACTGATATTTGTGTATTAACAACACACTCCTAATTGTATGTGAATGGGGCAGTTTTAGGGTGGCAAAACACATGCGAAACAGTAGAAGACATAGCAGCTACTCTTGCAGCCTTGAATACCGAAATAGACATAAGCATCATGTACCGTGGTGTGGACCCTAAGTGCATATATAGATTAGTGTCCGTGGTACGTCTTTCTTCTTCTTATTCCCTGCGACATTACCTTAAGGATGTATTGGAACTTGAAACCGACAGTACTTTTGTGTTCTCCTCCTGACCTTTCATAATCTAACCTTGTTCTTTTACTTTATTCTACAAATCCAGGTTTGCTATTATGGACAGCATTATCATTGCTTTGCATATAGTCATGAACACGATCGGTGGATCATGTACGATGACAAAACCGTGAAGGTAAGAACTATTGTAATACACTTGACTTTGCAGATAAATACACTATTCCACATTTATCACCCACATTGTATGCAATGTTTTTCAGGTGATCGGTAGCTGGAGTGATGTACTCTCGATGTGTGAGAGGGGACATTTGCAACCACAGGTTCTTCTCTACGAGAAGTGTTGAAATCGAAAAGAAAAAGAAAAAAAAAAGAACAGAGCAAGTACAGTTTAGGAGATCTCCCAAGTACAAACTGCAAAGAAAGTAAGTACTTTTTTGGTTTCGCAATAGAAAACTAGAGCGGAAGGAATGAGGTTTAGTAATCAAGATTACTTTTTTTTTTTTGGTTTGGGAAAATATTAGTGGTTCTAAGAGGTTGGGAAAGAATATTGTCTTGAGATTAGGCAGTGTTTTAAATGGTAAAGAGGTCTTAGAAGGTGTCATGTGGTTATTTCGTGACTATATATATCATTGTCACATTAAGCATTTATTTATATGTTCATATAAATCAGTGCAACTTTCAGAAAAATAAAAATACAATCTACTCTGCCTTTTTTTGGTCGGTCATATGAAAAGTTCTTTCATATTCTCTCTCTCTCTCTTTGTTTTCTCCAAAGTGGTGGGAAAATAAATAAATTATACTCCGAAAGATAGTCCAGCTTTACAAAAGAGCACCATAACAGAGAATATTGGTCACCAAGACTGAAGAGAAAATCATTTAAATGACATTAGAGATTTTGTGAGTAATCATGTTTGCCAAAGTCCACAAAAGACATTCCAAATGACATTTTTCCAAAGAAGAGATGTGATAAAAGGTTCTTTCGGCTGTGCATTAAGAAATTGGCTCAGTTATGAGCTGATTGTGGGACAAAAGTGTATCAGATGGTATCAGACAATTTTGATCCTCGGACATGCGGCATCCAGGAGTGAAAGGGAGAGGAGCGAAACAGGAAAGGCCTGGAGTACCAGCCGCCCAATTACCAGCCACCAGCGATGAGGATGTCGTTGTCTAAAGGGGGTGGTATTGTTACGATAGGATACATATCTCACATCGGTTATATTAGAAAGTTACTAATTATCTATAATATATAAAAATTAAAAGCATAGTAGATTGATGACGTTAGAGCCGGTAAAATGGGCTGTCCACGTCCATTTGGACCAGTCTATTTTTGTCCATTTTATTTATGGACATATTGTGATCATGTCCATTATAGACCATGCCTATTATAGACCATGTCCATTAACGACCAATTTCAAATGGGCTGTCCATTAACGACCAATATGATGATTCTTAAACATTGTGATACATTCCGAACAAACACATTCAAAAACATACTTTATAGAACAAATTATCATCTCATAGAAATCCAAAAACACATTTGAATATAAACTAACAAAAGTAACAAATTCTCATCCATACAAATCCAAAAACATAATCCAAAAGCATAAATTTAGAAAATTGAGTTTGTCAAGCTCAAGTATCATAATACCAAATCCAAAGACACAAATGTCTTAAATAGTTTCTTCTCCTCCTTTGTCTTCCTCATATAACTCAAACTGATCACTTACACACAACAAAAGAACAAAAACTTAATGATCTTTTGAGTCAAATACTAACTAATTCAAACATCACAAAAGCAAAAAAACAATTACCAATCTCTTCAAAGCCTTGCAGCCAATTTTTTGCACAGATCAAAGCTTGCACATTTGAAGGAAGAAGTGAACTCCTATACTTGTTTAACACACGACTTCCTATGTTAAATGAAGATTCCGAAGCCACAGTTGTAATAGGGATGCTAAGGACATCACAAGCCATGGTAGATAATTCATTAAAACGATTAGCATTATCTCTCTAATAAGCCAAAATATCCAAGCTCCTAAATGCAATCATATCCATAACCGACTCATCCAAATACTTTTCTAACGACGATTTTCCACTAGCACCAGCCGTTTGGGAAATAAAAGCATAATACCCCTGAAACAATTCTAAACTATAAGAAACTAACACTAATCACACATATTAAAAACGTAAGAGAAATCATGAGAGAATCTTACAGCGTAGGCTGAAAGGATGTTTGGTTCCAATGTTCTTGTTTCTGAAGTTCCTAATGCAGGTTTCCTTTGGATTTTTCTTATAAACATCAAAAAGCTTCTTCAGCTTCTTACGCACATGATCCAATTTCGACTTACTCGTGGATGGATCTAAAGTATCGAAGCAATACTCTAGACATGTGAACTTCAACCTAGGATCAAAAATCGCAGCAATAGCAAGTATATCGCTATATTCCTCCCAATACTTATCGAACTTAACCTTCATACTTCCCACCATCTCACGAATAGCTTCATCATATGATTCCTCATGTGTTTTCAACCACATTTCAATCTTCCATACTTGCATAAAATACAAGTTAGCAGTTGGATAAGATGATCCAGAGATCAAATTAGTCATTTCTGCAAATGGGGCTAAAAACTCATGAATCGACTCTGCTCTTGCCCACTCTAAATCGGATGGAAAAGTCATATAGCTTGTATCTACCTCAGCAAGATGGCGAAAGGCTTCTTTATACATAATCGCTCTAGATAGCATCAGATAAGTAGAATTTCATCTGGTTGTTACATCTAAAACCAGTCCTGCAGCATTAGCTTCAACTCCCACAGTTTCGACACAAGTCTGAAACGATTGCTCTCTAGACTCATTCACCTTCACAAACTTTACACTTTCCCTGATTTTCTCCAAAGCTTCATCAATCACGTTTAGACCATTTTGCACAATCAGATTCAAGATGTGCGCTATGCATCTTACATGAAAGAATTCTCCATTGCACACCAAGTTTTTCCTAAGTTGTCTCTTGAGAATGCCTTGCATGTTGTCATTTGATGAAGCATTATCCACTGTTATTGTAAACACTCTCGTCTCTAATCCCCATTCTTTCAGCAATTCCAACACCTTTGTGGCTATAGCCGCACCAGTATGTGGAGGAGGAAAAGCACATAAGGACAATATCTTAGTCTTCAAATTCCAGCTACTGTCTATATAATGCGCAGTCAAGCACATGTAATCCTCGATTGTAAGTGCTCTCCAAAGATCGGTTGTCAAGCAAAACCGACCAGGAACTTCGCTCAAGGTATGCCTAAGTTTCTGTTTCTCTTTCTCAAAGATGTTTAGGCAATCAGCTGCTGCAGTATTCCTACTCCAAAACTCTATACTAGAATTATCATAATTAAATGCTTCTCTAATCCTTCTGTACTCAACGAAAGAGTAAGGCAAATTATGCTCAATTATAGCCACAACAATCATTTCCCGAAACACCATGATATCTAGCTTCTTGTTTCCACATGCAGGAGTACCTCCAGGAGTCTTTGAACAAACTTTCATGTGACGCAACATAGTGTTGGTACCATTCCTACATAAAGCTATACAGTAGCTACGGTTGCAATGCTTGCATCTAACCTCAGTCCTACCATCATGCATTTTATCTCCAATAATCTTAAAATTCCTCCAACACATAAAGCGTTTGCGTTTAGTGTTACCTCTCGTACGTTTCTCTGCTGTGCTCATTAGTGAATCGCCTTCAACTTCATCTGGATTCTCTTCATCTTGATTCTCTTCATCCCCAGTCATATAGTCATCATCAAGGTTTAGAGTATCCTCGTTTTCCATCTGAAAGAACAGCAAATGGGTTTCTCTCATAGTCAGCGACTTCCGCATAAACAAAAACGTCAACGAAATTAAGCAGAAATGTAGAACTGATTCCTCAGGGGAGCTAAATAATGTCGCGAAATAGAGTAATCACGACTCAATCAAAGCAATGACCAACATTAAAGAGGAGACAGATCTCACAGACTAAAACTCGTAAGCTAAGAAATCAACAAAAGTTATAACTCGAGTAGTTGAAATCGGGCTCTCTCGAAATCATTGACTTTCCAAAGAAACATAAACAACAACGAAATTGAGCAAATGAGTCTCTCTCAAAATCGCAGATAGAAGAAAGGAAAACTTTAAGTCTTTACCTGAAACGAGTGTGGAGGATCTTCTTGATGAGAGAAGTCCATGAAGAAAATTTCTTGGAGAAATTGACAGAAAAGCTTGTAGATTGAAGAAAGAGTTTGTAGATTGAAGAAAAAACTGGAAGAAAATAGTATGAATTGTCGAAAAGTTTCGCTGGAAACGAAGGAAAGAAGCGTAGAATGAAAATCAATATTTCCCCAAATCGATTTAGACCTAGGTTTTTATGTTTATTGGGCTGGACAATGTCCACACTGTCCGGCCCATTTTATCCGTGGGCAAATTTGGACATCGACCATTTCAACCCGCTTAATTTTTGGACTTGTCCATAACCCGTCCATAATCATTTGGACGTGGACAACCCACAGGTGGCTCACCCATTTTGCCGGCTTTAGTTGACGTCCACATAAGACAAATAAACTTAATTTGATTGGTCCACATCAACGTTTTTCATTAAACAAAAAATGTTAAGTATGATTAAGATGAAGAAACTCAATATGATTGGTCCACATCAGCGTTTTCCATTAAATACAAACATGTTAAATTTGATTAAAACATTTTAAAGTTAATTTCTATTTATAAAAACATTAATTTCATTTTATATATGGAAAAATCAAAATAAAAAAACATAAGTAACAAATAGAAAAGAAATTAATGTTAAAAAAACCAAAATATAATATCCTTCAAAATTAAATAAAACTTTAATGTCAAAAGAGTTAATCTAAAATAACAAAAATAACGTAAAAGCTTAAACTTATAATATAGATTAATAAAATTTCTAACTTATAAATTAATTGACAAAAAAAATATTAATCTCGTTTCATAGATGAAAAAATCATAATAAAAAAGCTTATGTAACAAATAGAAAAAATGCTATGTTAAAAAAACTAAAATATAGTATCTCTCAAATTTAAATAGAAATTTAATGTCAAAAGAGTTAAACTAACAAAACAAAAATCAATATCGTAAATGAAAATTAACTTATTATCTAAAAAAAAGAAATTAACTTGAAAATTAAGAGAAAAAATAAATTTAACAAAAAATCATTCATATAAAATAAATTAACTTGATGTTCATGCTACATATTTTAAAAATTAATAATAAAAAAGCTTAATAAAATAAAAATAAGTCATAATTATATTAAGTATACAAATTTTTTTTATAAATTAAAATAAAATATAACATTACTATCAAAAATGTAAAGCTTAAAAAAACAAAAAATACAAAATTAATTTGAAATTAAGGACTGCCTATGGAGACCATAGAAATAACATGAGAATATGGAGAGAAGGAGGAAGAAGAATATTGTAGTAGGTGACTAAAGGTCTATGGAAACTATAAAGAAGGCGTACAAGTTTATAATAATAGTTTGTTATTTTGAAGATAATATTATTTATATTATTTTATCCCAGTAGTAAGTCGATTGATAGTATACAATGACAAATTATTTATTCATTCTATAATTTTATATATTATCCAGGTAAATATTTGCATAAAAATTATATCAATATTTTCATACCAAATTTGAAGAAATGGTTTTGGATGATATAAAAATAAAAAT